TAGTTGTGAATATCACAAGTCTTCCTTCGAGGATACTCGTGAAAGCAGCGCAGATACGAACTCGCAGCGGCGGGATCGACACGCCAATGACATCCAGTTTTTCCAAACTCAGGAGGACCAGCATAGGCAGATGGTTATGTGGCAGATTTGAAGTGGCTGTCAATGTCATGATGTGGATTTCTCATTGAGAATGGAAGTTCTCCATGTTGAACAGGCTATTTGACACACCTAGGACGAAATAATTCATAAATTTATGGGCGGTGAATATTATTTACATGCACCTGATATTGTTTCTTTGATGGCTGTTTCGATATGGTTCCGCGATCATACAGCTAAGTGCATCAATCCTTTTGATGTCCATCTTCTTGAAGTCTCCAATATAACACATCGACCTCTTAAGACATGAACTCAAATAGTTGTACTACCAATTTTCTTTCTCATCTTCAGTGGAAGAATTGAGTTTTCAACCTCTCTTTGAATGGGTTTCAATGAGTTCAAATCAGAGTGATGAGCTTTTGTTTGACGTTATGTTCGACGAGTTATCATCTTTCCACCATTTGCAATGTGTGTAGACAAGTCAAGACAGACTGAATGGGGCAAACACTTAACCCTAGCTATTGTAAATCTGGTCGTCTCCCCGCCGTAGCACTCTCCTCTGCCAGGACTAACGCCCGCTCACTGCTCTTCGTTCCCACCCGCCGCCCACCACTCTCCACACCAAGCACTAGTCCGCCCCTTTCCGCCCCATGTCACACTTTCATACATATACTCTAAAACAGTCCTCCACCACAACAATAACACAACATCTTTGATGGTCTAACGGTCATGATTTCCGCTTGTCAATGGTTCATTGCAAGCCGCGGGAGACCGGGGTTCGACTCCCCGTCAGAGAGTTCATTCTACATAGAATTCCTCGAATCTCATGTTCAAATATCTTTTTCTAATTTTTTGACGCAAAAATCTTTTTTTTCGTAGGCGGGAAGTTTGGCGTGTAGCGGACCCCACTACTACCTTGCCGGAGCCTTTTTGCTTTTCTTCAAAGGTGGGGCTATCTACAGTGAATGAGAGGGGCAGGATTTTGGGTTAATGGTTAATGATAGTGGTTGATAGATAGTGAGGATGACGTTGATGTCGAAAGGTGAATATAATAAATAGATCGTTGGTGAATCATGAAAGGAAAGCGTAGCGAGAGTAGTCTTCTGCACATGCCGAAATGATTGGATCTTCTCGAAACTCTTGAGTCTCGATTGCTCTTTTACGCCGACAATAAATAACACAGCTAGGTAACAAAACTCTAATGTGAAGTTCTAAAAATATATTCAAATTTACCTATTTTTTCAATACAAAATCCATGATTCATTGTTGGGATAGGATGAGAGGGATGACTTCATTCCATTGTCGATTCTTGGCGATAGAAATCGTTATCAGGACCTTGGCTTGCAGGATGTGGCTTTCGCTATCAGGAACTCGAAGCACATGTGAATGATACATATGATGTGATGTGATGTGATGAAGTTTGGATATCGATGGAGGCATTCGATGTTTCGTATGAAGAATCAAGAAAAGCTTGTAGTGTCGGGTGAGTAACTCGTACAGTTAGTGAGTGAGCTTTCCATGTGAAACTCATTTCCGCGTCGCTTGATCTCATCATGATGGATCATATCATATGAAGAATGATTAATTAACTGGGTTTGGATGGTAAGATCATAGGTTGTACAACACATTCAATAAGTGATTCTAGATCTTTGCATGTTGGATTCTAGATTCGAGAATTGTGCAAAATGATATGATGTGGTGTGAAGTGGTGATGTGATTATATGATTATCCTTGCGACAACTTGCATTTATAGAGCAACTGATGTGCAGATGTGCAATTGAGGTATGTAATGTGAGCTAGCATTTTGCAAGAACGCGTCAATATACAGCCAGACAGTCTAAACTTTGGTTCAATTGCTCCTCCATGTGAAGATTATAATGGAACAGAGTGGTGATCTTGAGATCTATAGGTGTGGATGGATTTATGTGTTGATGTGTTGATGTGTTCGTGTTTTACTATGTGGATATGTTGGAGACTTGGAGTGGTGCAGATGCGTTGAAGAGTGTCACCGTCGCCGCTGTTCCTAGTCGAAATATGAAGACTGAATCTCACGTCTAGATATCAGTGGAAGGAATTATTCCGTACAACCTAACACATCGAGAATATACGAATAGAACTCATACTCAAGCACACCTATATCGGTGGCGGTGAGTCTATTTCCCGTTGTCTTCCATATCAATTATTAGTTCTCAGATCCTCTCGTTCAATAATTATCCATCGGGAAATCTCGAAATCTCAGATATCATCAATGCCAGGTACGGATCCATGAATCCACAATCCAACCAGCAAAGTTCGAGCGAAAGAATATGCACCAATCATCATCCAAGATTCTTAATCTCGTATGGATTCTTCAGTCCTAGTTTTTTTTAAGGCCCGATACAAATTACAATAAAGTGGCTCATGAGAAAAAGTGGTTATCCTTGAGCCTCATCCTTTTTTGTCACGCAATTAGACCAATTCGTCTCGAGTTCGTAAACTTTTCCAGGGGCGGGAACAAGATCAGAGTGTGACCCATGCATAATTGTGCCTTATCGCAGGATTTTCTGAAAGAATCAAGAATTGAATGGAGAGAAGTCGAGGTCAAGGTTCCATATCAGATATTTGTGGGTATTTTTCCCATGAGGCATTTTTGAAGTGACATTGGAGTGTGACTTTGGAGGTTGATCCATCCATAATGGGTTCTGTATGATATGTAGGATCCATATAGCCCTAACCGGCCATTTACATTTTCAGGTGTGGCAGCGGCACCGACCTAGGAAATGCGCAAATCCTACTCGAGCAGACATCTCTTTATGCGAAGTTGCGGAGTATATACGGCGTCGGTCTGTAGGTACTGATTAGAATGAGCGGCCTATTCTCGGTGGCGGAGCCCTCTAATGGTATCGACGAGACTCATGAGAGGTCGGCCATACTATGTAGTGTCGGTTGTTTAACTTTTGCTAGATAAAGAACGAAACGTGTGAGAAAGATTTGATGCAGGCGCTTCCGTCCGTGTCCACTGTCAAAGAAAGGTCAAATAGCGGAACTTGTCGAGCTTATTCCGATTTCTAGATGGTTAGATTTTTAGATTTTCATACAGAAAAACGTTCATAGTTTGTTGATCAGGGTTGGAACTTATTAGGTCGAAACAGTACAGTAGCGTCGAATTAGAAGTATGCATCTGAATCATCCTGAATCAGAACCCGCTCTTTACGACTCATCCTTATCGAATAATAGAAAAGGAGATTGATGCCATCGGTACTCATTAGCGTTTACAGTATAGGTACCCTGTTTTCAACTACCCGTCCCTCACAACCGATGATTTCTCGTTAAGCCGTCAAAGTTGTTATCATGTGGAAGTCATTCGATTTCTGAGATAAAGGTTATCGCTCATGAGGTTTGATCATGCCATATCTAGGGGATCTCCTGTCTCTTATCAGATGCTCACACCTACCCAGTATTCGCACCTCGCTCGAATCACCCCCTTTTCACGTGTCAAAGTAGAGCTAGTAGGTGCGTCAAGTTACATCGAGCTTCAGCACGTTTCGAAATGAGGTTGATCTGACCTGACTTTCATGAATACAGAGTACAGCATATGCTGCAGCTGTTTTGACGGGTTACCTTCCAGAGTTTAGACTTTGCCCTGCTTACTGGGTCCTTGCTACCGTAATGCTAGGGAGATACTCCTATTGATATCCACCTTCCTGCAGTACCCGATGTCGAGTCTTCAAATGTTAAATCTTTTAGATATACCCGGTACACATCCGAGGAACGGAAGAAAACTCCTTCAGCCTTGGGAATTATCCTGGGCTTAGTGTGCTGGGTAGCTAGGTTGGGTAGTTTTTATCACATTATCATTTGATAATCGAATATGCGCCAGTCAACCACCATCGATCAATCATATAACAGTTTGGGACTGTGACTGTGACGGTGACTGTGACGGTGACTGTGACGGTAAGAACCTCGGAAGTCGAAGAAGTATATATGGTTCAAGTAGCATTCACCATCATCGTTAGATCCAACTTGTGAGGAGAGAAAGTCCGAATCTATATTTGTGTGTCTGTTTGATTGAAAGTCTCCAATTTTTACGGATACGACCGTATCGGCACTTTGGAATCCTTTTGATACACGGTACACCAACGAAAAGAAAAGGGTAAAGAAAAAGTTCTCGAACATCAGCAAAAAAGTTTCTCCTAAGGTTTTCTCCTAAGAAGGTGACCCCCACTAGAAGATATCCACTTCATACCAAGAAACCGTAGCCCCTTCCGATTTGTGACGTGCGGAAGCGCCACTTTGATCTACTTCGTACCCACGCCTACCCAGCTTGAGTCTTGACTGTGTGGATTTTCGTGAATTGCGCCTGAGCCACTGGATTATTGACTGGTCATTGGATTATTGAAGTGGGATTGGGATTGGGATGGAGAGAAGAGTACGCAAAAGAGTACCTCGATACCGAAGAAAGGAGAGAGAAACAGAGATTGCGACAAATATACTAGTAACAATAGGGTAAGGACGAAATCTTTGAGATACAAAATACAAAGAAGGACTAACCTTAGAGGAAAGATAACTAAAAGAAGAGGTCATAATTTGTGATTTCTTTTTTCAATCTTTTTTATACTCATATGGTTATTGCCCTTCAATATACACCTGTGCAGTATATTGGCTGCAGAACAGAAAGAGCGATTCGCAACTAGCATTACCACTTTCACGCATTTCCTTGGTAACTGCTGTGGAAAGGAAGTCGCCGATACGAGTGGAGTATAAGTATTTCTCAATATTCGGAGCTCACTCCTTGACAACTTTGCACCAACATAATAAGCACACGAAACGGTCGGGGGATTCTGTCTTTCCTGCTGACGCCAAACAACTCCTGAATCATTATTTCTCATTTGGCATACGACCAATATTCGAGTTAATAAGACGTTATGCCTAATTTCTTTGGAGGCGTTACTGGAAGAGGTGTTTCGACACTTTTCGAGATACGGTATGTTATAATATATCTGCGATGTTATTCCCTCCTCATTTACTGACATTTTGCAGTCTTGACGAGGAAATCATCGTACTTCGAGGAGGTGAAAATGAAGCATCGAGTCAATTGCTCAAGGGATCAGTAGTTTTATGCCTGCCAGCTGCTCTGAAGGTAGAAGATGTACATCTTCGTATGACTGGACAATTGAAAGTTGGGTGAGTTTTTCCAAGGCATTTGGACATATGCAAGGGCTGAAAAACTAACTACCACATGCAGGTGGAATGATCAGCGAGTCACACCTACCGGTATTTCGAATAATCGAGTCGATAGAACTACTGAGATTTTCAGTCATAGATGGGCGCCGTTTGTGGGTGGAGCAGGGCCTGGTTCTTCCTCAAAGGGATTACTTTTACCAGCAGGAAATTATGAGTGGCCATTCGAACTCGTCATTCCAGGATCTATGTCAGAAAGTGTGGAGGGTTTGAATGACAGCCACATTATCTACAAATTGAAGGCAACAGTCGCTAGAGGAAAATTGGCATACGATTTACATGCTTGGAAACCGGTGCGAATCGTTCGAACTTTGGACCCTTCAGCATTGGAATTGGCTCACGCCATGACAGTTGAGAATGTTTGGCCAAATAAAATCGAATATCAACTGGTTATTCCACAAAAGGCCATAGTATTTGGTACTGCAATCACCATCGAGATGAGATTCACCTCCTTGTTGAAAGGCTTGAAAATAGGCAAGATAAAGTGTCATTTGATCGAAGTACAAGAATTTGTTCTCCCAGGAACATCTACGACTTCGGATAGATATTGGAAAAATTCCAGAGATGTGGATGCTTGGACCTTTGAACTGAATGAAGAAGAGCATTATCAAGATATGCTTGACGACAGTGGGCAAGATGGATTCAAAATGACCGAATTCATGCCACTGCCAAAAAGATTGAGCCGATGCATACAAGATGTGGACGTACATGGTATCAAAATTCGCCACAAGGTCAAATTCAACATTGCATTGCACAACCCAGATGGGCATATTTCAGAGGTATGACTCCCTTGTCTTCAATCCATGCAAAAAATACTGATCAAATATAGCTCCGCGCAACGCTACCAGTGACAATCTTTATTTCTCCCAATATGCCATTAACTGCCGAAGGTGCTTTAGTGGACCAGACACCAACAACCAATACTCAATCAACTGCAGTATCAGCACATGCACCACCTCTTTATGGAGAGCACGTATTAGATCAACTTTACGCCGACATGGATCAATCTGGACTAATGACCCCTATGCCACAATCTGGAATGAACACTCCGTTCTACGCCCAGTCTCGAGCAGGTTCATCAGAGAATCTATCTGCCTCCCCAGAATCTCATCATCCTGCAGGCGCCGTTCCCCCTGCAGCATTGTCATCTAGGCTTCAAAGTTTAAATACCAATTTAAATTCTGGCAGGAATAGCTTTTTAAGACGATATGGAGGATCTGGATCCGGAGGAAATACTCCTCACCATAACGATGATCACCAAGGAAGCTATTTTGATTCACACCATGGTCATTCCGCTTCTTCAGCAACTGCCAGAAGTAATCCTCTTAGCAGACGAGGAAGTTTTAACGAGGATCATCACCCAGATGCCACTAGTACCACGATGAGCAGCGGATACCATACTCCTGAACATTTGGATTACAATGAAATGGGAGATTTAACCAAAGTTCCTTCCTATACTACAGCCCTCAAAACCCCTGTAAGAGGAATGAGTTATACCGAAGCACTGCCCAATTACGAATCTGCCATCTCAGCACCACCGAGTCCGACATTACATGCAAGTAGTGGCTCAAATACACCGCATGAGCACCCATTGGACGGAGGTCATTCTCATTCACACTCACACTCAAACTCAAATTCCCATTCCCACGCGGATACGCATAGACACCACCACGGACCGGGATTTTTGAGAAGAAACCCATTCTCCAGCATGGGATTCACACCGTTGCATCCACCATCACATGCACATTCGGGGGAAGCAGATGAAAGGAGGAGATTGCACTTGTTACAGCATAGAGATAGGGTACATTAAAAGAAGGAAGATTGGATAAATTAATGGAATAGACCATCGGAATGGAATGCGAGATCCAAGCATCTTTTGGCGCAGGAGGGTTTTGAAATAGACTTGGTACATTGGGAATTTTGGGGGCGTTCAGCTTGATACCTTTTGATGAGATACCGTTATAGAAGCGTTAAATGCTGGAAGGTTAGACAATGCGAGGAAGAGGCTGCATTTATAGTATTAATATCCTCCCCGCTCTCGCGATTAAAGAGCGATAGTTCCTCTTGAATACATAAATTCAACATTTTCAAACTTGACAAATTTCACATGATTCAATTGGCTGCCACAAGATGAGAACACCAGAGGTATTATCACATAATGAACTTGTCGAATTCCGAACTTGTAGAACAAAATTCGGCTTACCGAAGTAATACCGAACACCTAGGTACACATTCAATCAGACGTGGTGTGTGAAATCCGAGAATATCAAGAAATGGAAATGGAGATGGAGATGGAGATATTACAGATGAGAAAGGATTTTTAAATTGAAATCAAGACACCTAGGACGGTCATACATTTGATCTCTAATATCTTGAGTGAATTCAACTTCTTACTTTGCCTAATGGCGTAAGCCGATCCCGAAGTCGCGTTTGAGAGATCATCCACGCTCCAAGCTCCAAGCTCAGAGACCTCGGGAGTCATAATATCACAACAATCACAACATACCTCGCTGAATTTCTCTGATTCGAAACTGTTAAATTCGTTTTACTTTGAATCTACGGTATCCCTCGATACAATTCCTAATACCTTTGGGATCCAAGTCTCTAGAGTACACCTTGATTCAGAACTCACTCGATGCCCTCGTATCTAACATAGATATCTACACAAGCCGGGGCCCATCACCCATCGAAACCATGGCGCCCACAAATCGTACCCTTCTCCTTCGATCCTCCTCCCCATCCTCATCGTTACGATCACCATCCGAGTCTTCCTCTGCTTTCCGCGACCAAAAGGCCCGTAAACAAGATATGATCCGCTATACCTCCTACGCCTCCGCCATCCTCTCCTGTCTCTGCGCAGGTTCCATCACCGCTTATTCGCTTTATGGCCATTTATTTCAATCGCGATTGCATTATACGCAATTACAAGTCAATATTGTTATCATCGCGGCGGAATTGGCAATGTATCTGCCAGTGCCGGTGTTTGGATATCTATGCGATCGGGTTGGACCTGCGCCACTGTCTCTCGGGGCGGGAATTATGTTTGGAGCTGGATATGGATTGGCGGCACTTACATACAAGAGTGGAGAGAAAGACATAGAGGGTTATGTGACGGAAAGAGGATGGCCAATTATTTGGATGGTGATTGCATTCATGATTATTGGAATGGCAACGACTTGTATGTATATTAGTGCGGTGACGGCGTGTGCGAAGAATTTTGGGAAGTCGAAATATAGAGGCCTGGCTCTTGCATGTCCAATTGCAGCGTTTGGGTTGAGTGGAATGTGGCAGAGTCAGGTGGGGGAGAAGATATTGTATGAGAGGGGGAGAGACGGTCAAAGGGGAGATGTTGATGTGGGAAGGTTCTTTTGGTTCTTGGCTATTACACTTCTTGTGGTGGGAGTTATTGGATGTGGATTGTTGAAGATTGTGGATGAGGATGAGTTGATTGAAGAAGCTGTTGAGGAATTGGAGAGGAGTGGGTTACTTGGGGAGGAGGAAGGGTATACCAGGAGAGGATATGGTACTTTGAATGGAGAAGAGCGAGGTGGCGTGGATGAGGAGGATGAAGAAGCGAGAAAGAAGACTTGGTTATTAAACGAGGAAACAAGACGATTTCTGAAAGATCATACGATGTGGTGGTTAGCCATTGGATTCTTCTTCGTCTCCGGACCAGGCGAGTCGTTCATCACGAATTTGGGCACAATAATCGGCACGCTTAATCCACCTACAATCCACAATCCTACTTCCGCAGCAACACATGTTTCAGTTGTTGCACTTACCTCAACCATCGCTCGTATCCTATTTGGTACCCTCACCGATATACTGGCTCCGGTTCCTATAACACATCATTTCGGTTCTCTGTCAAATTCTTTCGCCTCTCTCCCACCACAACCTAGATCTCGCTTCACGATATCCCGTATAACGTTCCTTATCTTGTCCGCTCTCCTAATCCTCTTGGGTGATATCCTACTGGCTGCAGGAATTTGCCAAAACCACGCTGACCGCTTTTGGATTATTTCTACTCTCATCGGATCCGGTTACGGCGCTTTATTCTCCCTGACTCCTTTAATCGTGACGGTTATCTGGGGTGTTGAAAACTTCGGAACCAACTGGGGAATCGTAGCAATGGTGCCAGCACTAGGTGCTACGCTCTGGGGTGTGATCTATAGCCAAGTCTACCAGAAAGTTGCCGAGGGATTATGGAAGGAATTCCTTGGTGATGGAGTACTTTGCTGGGGACAAAGCTGTTACGCGGGGACTTTCTGGGGAATGGCAGGGAGTGTGGGTGTTGGAATTGTATTTTGGGTTTGGGCTTGGAAGGGAAAGAATGGGTGGAGCGATAGGGGAGTTGTGGTATAGATTACTCATGTGGAAATCTGGACTCGTGTGGGGGTTTAGACGGGATGGTATACGGAGTAATGTATGAAGTTGAGAGTTTTGATATAAGCATCTAGCGTATGTACTCATGGTATTAACAAATCGGCATTGGGTTGGTTATTGAGGAAGGGAATGATAAATTGTGCATATGACCTTTCGAAGGTATACATAGGCGTCTGTGGTTTGGGATTAGTATTATTTCATTTGGTCTGGTTTATTTGTTGGGGTGCACTACACGGCATTGTTTTATTTATGTACCTATTGAACAATCGGGAGCTTTGCATGGAATGTTCTTTGCGTATTGGGCATTTTCTGAGTTGCGGTTTGTGGATTATGGGCTAGATATCCATTAATGATATAATTCTCGCCACTATAGGGCTTGGAAAGATGTAATGGTATGAGTGAATAGTTGGTATAAATTAGTGGGACTTATATAGCATCATGCTTTTTCACGAAATCTCATCCAATAACTTGAGTCATCTCTTCTCCGAATCTGAATTCGCCAGCATCAAAGTAACGACCTCCCCTTCTCTCTCCCTAACTATTATAATACCACCCCTCTCCTCTTTCTTCTTCATCCACACCTCACCATCAATCGTCACCACGACCTCTCTCACCAAATTAATCCCTTCGCACACCCCCTCTTTAAACCCCGAGGATCGGTACATCATGATCACACCCCGCCACATACCAACTAGGTACAGGTGGAGGCGAGGGACAACATGAATTCCCGTTACATATCTCCGAATTTTGAGTATGATGCGTCTTTCGCACTGTCATTACCACTTCTCTTTATCGCGAAAACACGGGACGGGAATGGAGTTATGGTTTTGCAGGGGGTGGGAGGAGGAGTGTATGTGTGTCGGGTGCGGAGAGGTACATTTGCGATTTTTGAAAATTTGATTGTGCATTCTGTTGGTGTTGAGGGAAATAATGAGGAGTATTTTATTCATTTGAAGTTTCTGCTGGTATCCATGTACATACATACATGTGTGTAATGTCGATTTTTCCGAAATCGACTGCTCACATCGGAAGATGCGGTTTGCAAGTTCTGCATGGGATGGAGGGAACCAACTGGTAAGTAGGTAAGCTGACGTACATACATATGCAAGGCATACGCCACAGCAGGGCTGAGATTTCAAGAGCAAGGGGGCTTCCTTCATCCTCGATGATTACATCTTTGTTCTTTTTCCTTTTGTTTTTCTTTCCCTATTCCTATTCTCTATCTACATACTCATATTTCCTCTTCCGCAATTCCATACACATATATTTCGCAATACAACACAGTTCAACACAATGTCTATACTCTCACATTTCTCCCTCCCGACTCGACGAGCGTTCCGCACCGGTTTGTTGACGGGCGCGTCGGGTTTCCTAACACCTGCTATTATGAATAAATGGGATGTTTCGGTGCTGCGGGCTGTGTTTTATGTTTTGATTTTGTACACGGTGTTTGCGGGTTGTGAAGCGGTGGGTTATTGGATGGTGGAGTGGAAAGATGTGGGGAAGGAAGAGGAAGACACAGACAAACGAGGAATAGAGGCAAAGAGAGAGGCAAGGGGAGAGAGTGAATGAGAAAAAACCTCTCGAGATTTGGTAGGGGATATAGGGGAAGGTGAGAATAGGAGAGTGGGAATCGTCTTTGATGCTAGTGGTTGGGAAGGAAGATACGTGGGGAGCTAGGAGCTTTGTTAATCACTATTCAACAATTGAATGCTCTTTCTTTGCTACATGCAGAGAAGTTTTTAATGTAGAGTGTTTGAATGTTACACTACACTCCTTCGAGTCTTGAGACCCGAGCTAGCTACCGAAGCGAGAAAATAGTTATGCCACCGGAAGTACTACTTTCTGTATCCATTCCTGCCTATGGAGACTTGGATAGAAAGAGATATTTACTTACCTGGAATATGGGAGTAAGTCTATGGAATAGAGATTCAAAAATTGAGAACTTGAGAGGATACGGGAAGTAGTAGTTACGTGAAAAATGATTGAAAGCTGAGATGGAAAAGATAGCCGAAATAGCGGACGCAGAGGAGTGAAAAGGGATGTTGAAAGAGGATTTACTTAAACCTTCGACCAAGGAAACCAAGATCAAGGACAGCGCAAAAATGAATAATGTACACATATCAAACGTCATCATTTATGATCGACCTGAAATAGAACATACACAAAAGAAATACAACAAATAAAATTCAATCAACCTCCACCCCACTCAATAGGGCAGTAGGAAGTGTTTTCTTCATTCCAATATTTACAATCAAGATACTGTTCTAACTATAATACAATGAATCTATTCCCTTCTTATATATTTGCTTTCTTGTCGTACGTCTCCAATTTGAGGATGACGTCTAGACATCTAAATTTCGCACTCATCATCTTCCTCTCCACCTGCATCCGTTGCATCAGTTGCAGCAGGAGCAACCGAGCTAGCAATCTCGGTTGAAGAAACTTCACCACCTGACCCACCATCTATCGCACTGTTAGTCAGTCTATGCAGAAAGGCACTGGGAATAATAGTCATTCTGCTTTACACACGTACCGGCAGAGCAAGACTTTCCTCCGGCGCAGTTACCATACAAAGGGACTGAGCCAGAAGATGAAGCAGCGGTTGTAGTAGCTGGTTTAGCGGAAGTAGCAAGAGTAGAGCTGGATTTTTGGGTGACAAGAGTGGTTTTGCTGGTGGCAACGGCAGCAGCTGAGGAAGAAGCTTTGCTGGTAGCAACGATTGCTGTGGGAGAGGCCTTGCTGGATGTAGCAGCGACCTTTGAGGAGGAAGCGACGGCGGTTGAGGTGGCTACTGCGACTTTTGAAGAGGTGGTGATTGCTCCGTGGGATGCGGAGGCTGTAACTGAAGATCCACCGCCATTGGCCATGAGAGCGGAGACAGGAGTTCTACCTGGGAAGAAAGAGGTTGGGACGGTTGGGATAGGAATGCTTACGCTCACGGCGAAAGGAGTAGCCAAATCTTGGGCCATGGTAGAGGCTTCGTAGCCGGTTGGCATAGCGGACCAAGATTGAGTTGTAGTGTAAGCGGATGGGGAATCGGTGTCGGCTTTAAGACATCCTCCTGAACCGTAAGCATTTTGGCAGACGTATTTTCCGGTGCTGCCGGAATCAGCTCCGATGGCAAAGTCAGTGATGGTGATATTTGTGCACGGAGCGGTGGATGAGCAGAGGAGGTTGATTGGTCCACGTGCAGTGGTGCTCTCACACGTTCCCTTCCAGTTGTTGAAAGAGAGGTTCTCGTAGATGACTCCATCACCGGCAGCTTTGCTTGCTTGAGTCCAGGCTGCGTTAATGTTTAAACTGTAGGCGTTCGAGCGACCAATGAAGTTGTTGAATTGACAGTCAGAAACGGTTCCGCTACCACCGTTTGATTTGATCATGTACATTTGGTTAGATCCATAAGTGTAAATATTGTTGTAGATGATATTGGAGATGGCAGTGTCTGCTCCGAGAGATCCCATACCACAGCCTCCTGAACTGTTACAGTAGATATCTTCAATGAGAAGGTGATCGGAAGGATTCTATAACGTGATTAGGTATTTTAGAAAAGCTTCATTGGAAAAAGACTCACCTTGACAGTAATACACTCATCCTTGTTAGTCACTTCAACATCATGAATCCAGATGTTTGTTCCCCAAACATCAATACCATCAAGACCACCCTCGTCACCACCACGAATGATCATGTTGTAAACCTCTCCGCTCTCGCAAGTATCAATGGAGAAATGGAATGCAGGGGCATCGACTAAAGCAATGTCGTGAATGGAGAAGTTTTTAGCATCGAAAAATCGGAGGAGACGTGGTCCATAAGTCGAGTCTTTGTGAAATTCATAACCATAACCTTGAATAGCACCTGCAGAGGTACTACTGTACATCTCGAAATCGCTAGTGTGTTTGATCATGATCATGTTTCCATCATCGCTACCAACACGATAAATGATACCATCAAGCTTAAGTGCCCATGCCGAACCTCCGCTGAGTGTAATCCAAGTACTCATACCATAATCTCCAGGTGGGACATAAACTGTTTAAAAATGAGCTTTCAGTAAATGGAAATGGATCTTGAACTGTGTACCTGTTCCACCAGTCTTGCAAGCAGCGAATGCAGAAGTGAGCGCCGGGCCAATATCTGAAGTCTTGCTTGCCTTTCCACCATAATCCAAAACACTACAAATTTTTGTGGCTTTAGATTCTCTTGAAGTCAAGGGGCCAACTGAACCAGTCAATTGTGCTGATACTAAAGCTGGGAGGACAATTGCCGCGAGGGCTGATAATGTGCTGATTTGCATTTTGCAAATAATTTGAAAAGGAATGATAGGAAATTGAAGGAATGGAGAATGGTAAAAGTTCAAAAATAGAAGTGAACCCCCAAAAGAGTGAAAGGCAGACAAATCCGCGTTTAGAATAGAAAAGAGAAGTCAAAGATAGAAAGCTTCAAGAAACATTGAAAGATCTGGAACTATACTTGCCTATATGTACCGAATAGGTCTACCATGTACTTTTTACTCGCTCGAGTATATGCCATGTCCATGTTATGCTATTCCTGTGTAAGGAATCAATCGATAACTTGGGGTGGGGAATTAAAGGGACGATGCACCTGGGTAAGATCAAAGAGATGAGCATGATGAGGATCATGGAAATCCATGTTGATGAAGTCAAAATCACTTTGCTGTAGCCAATTAAAGTAGTATTTAGATTAAACAACACTAGTTGTTTGAATGTGGGATTGAAAGAATGTTCCTACCGACGATTTCATATATCCGAGGGGAAATGTGGTACTAATCTTTGAATATATCTGAAACTTTGACCCGCCAAAAAGCGGTTAGATGCCATGGCTTGCTTACCTCTTTCGGTAGCGAGGCGATTAGATTTTAGTTCTTGGTGTTCCCCTGAATGCAGGTACGACACAAGTTCCTAGGGCTTCTTGATTGTTAGAGTGTTGCTGCTTTATATAAAGCTCCTCCTTTGCCAAAGTTTGTCAGTATAGAAGATATGTTGTGCAACTTGTCTGTGTGAGGAAAAGGAGGATTGATTCGATATGAGATCAATCAAACAGCATTGAAAATTAGCTTGACAAGTTGACATAGGTACATAATTGGTGGCGGCTGTTGTAAAGCTTCCATCCCAACAAAAAGGAGTAGTTGTCATTCGACAGCCATGTTTCGTGTATATACTTCCGACGCCTAGACCTGTTTATACCCTGTGCAGCATTGAATATGTACGAACCATGACATTATTGACAGCCCTCTTGGGTCAAATGATCAGACGGCATCTTTTGTTTCTTCCAAAGAGAGCAATATCTAATCTGTTTCCCCGCTTCGATGATCTGCTCAAGACTCAAGTATTGGAGTTGACTGTGGGCTTTCTCGTATGAATATCGGTAGCTGTACGAATGTGAAAAGTCCGAAGGCTGATCCATAAAATTCTCACCTAGAGTATTAATAGCAGTATCAAAAGTTTGAAGTTTTATTGATGTTCTTTTCACAACGATGTCCATAGTTTCTTGAGAGCATATCTGAAATTCAAAGAATTTCTACTTTCGCTGCTATTACCCAATAAGGCGATCGAGAGGAGCAACAAATTAAGGTTTCCTTGCGAGCATTTGATGTATTTTCCGAGATTAAAAGCGGTAGACCAAGTTGTGGAGGGATGTTGATGGCCTTCGAGAGTCCCTGAGACTCCGCAGCAAGCTCTTGCTTGGAAGTAAATTAGCACAAGCACGATGAAATGGGTCTGTACAGTAAAATATGTATCGCCAATGTGTACAGGTATATAGGTAGTATCTCTTCGAATGAAGAATGTCTTGTCGAAAATGAAATGGAAAAGAAAGGGGTTCATTCTTTAGGTTCGTTCTTTAAGTTCGTTCTTTAGGTTCATGGAAAACCTGGAAGGTTGCGAATTCATGATACATATCAGATGTGAGATTGGGTGTCAGAATACTATATATTAATGTCATATTGATGATATCCATGGATGGATATCGTATATTGAAAAGCAAAAAGTTTATCGCGAGGCCATGAATAACTTGGAAACCTTGGAATTTCAAGATACTGTGGCTGATGCGGGGTCACTTAATAATCGTGGCTGATGATCTGTAACCTGAGGCTGTCTAAATAATTTTTGGCAGACGAAGGGCTTTCAATAAACGCGACTGTCGATTTGAACGCGCTGGTCAGGGAAGAAGTTTGTCCAAATATTCTGCTTTTTGTTTGGTTTGTTCGATACCTCTGCAGTTTGTTTCAGCACTCTTTTGATATAGGAAACCTCGCACATCTTCAAACATGGCGATGAGTAAGTTTTTACCTGCTGTCACCGAGCATATGTCTTAAAGAGCTTCTGCTAACCACCCCGCTATGTAGATATTGATATGTCACAGGGTAAGTTGTATCTGTACACACCACCAAATCGCCCTGGAAGCTTACAAGAAATTTATAGCTTCTGTGATCAAGGATGAACAAGGAAGACCTTTCATCGTTGTTAGAGAGTAGGGATTTAACTCTTTCCTGCCGAAAGTTCAAGTACTGATGAGGTTATAGTCAGGGAAAGAAAAAGAGACAACATGGAAACGAGGCAGTCAAATCACATATTCTCGCAGCGAGGACAGTAGCCAATATTGTCAAGACCTCCCTTGGTCCCCGAGGCCTCGATAAGATCCTTATTTCTCCAGATGGTGATATTACAGTCACAAACGACGGTGCTACCATCTTGGGACAGATGGAGATTCAGAACCACGTTGCAAAGCTTTTAGTCGAACTCTCAAAATCTCAGGATGACGAAATCGGTGACGGTACAACTGGTGTGGTAGTTTTGGCCGGTGCCTTGTTAGAACAAGCTGCCGAACTTATCGACAAGGGAATCCACCCCATTCGTATAGCTGATGGTTACGACCAAGCTTGTGATATTGCTGTTGCGGAGCTGGATAGAATTGCCGATACTATCGAATTCACAAAAACACAAAAAGAGAATTTAGTTAAGGTTGCAAGGACAAGTTTGGGAAGTAAAATCGTCTCCAAGGCCCACGACCAATTTGCCAACATTGCCGTTGATGCTATCTTATCTGTTGCTGATTTGGAGCGTAAGGATGTTGACTTTGACTTGATCAAGGTTGATGGTAAGGTCGGTGGATCTCTCGAGGATTCTTTACTAGTTCAAGGTGTTATTGTCGACAAAGACTTCTCACACCCTCAAATGCCTGATGAAGTTCGAGACGCCAAGATTGCTATTCTCACATGTGCATTCGAACCACCCAAGCCAAAAACCAAGCATAAGCTCGACATTACCTCCGTTGAAGAATTTAAGAAACTACAAACATACGAAAAGGACAAGTTTACCGAGATGGTTCAACAAATCAAGGATACTGGTGCCAATCTTGTTATTTGTCAGTGGGGATTTGATGATGAGGCAAACCATCTTTTATTACAAAGTCAATTACCAGCCGTGCGATGGGTTGGAGGACCAGAGATAGAATTAATCGCCATTGCAACAAACGGTAGAATCGTACCAAGATTTGAAGATTTATCAGCTGAGAAACTCGGAAGAGCTGGACTAGTCAGAGAGATGAGCTTTGGTACTACCAGGGAGAAGATGTTGGTCATCGAAGAGTGTGCAAACACTCGTGCTGTTACGGTCTTTGTTAGAGGAAGTAACAAGATGGTATGTTGTACAAGAATTCGACATTTGTATCGTTACTAATTGGTTAAACAGATCATTGATGAGGCGAAACGCTCCCTCCACGACGCTCTATGTGTTGTTCGTAACCTCGTTAGAGACAACAGAGTTGTTTATGGTGGTGGTGCTGCAGAAATCGCATGCTCATTAGCCGTTGAGGACGCCGCTGTTAAGTCACCTGGCCTTGAACAATACGCTATGCGCGCCTTTGCCGATGCTCTTGATGCTATCCCAATGGCTTTGGCAGAAAACTCCGGTCTCTCTTCCATCGAAACCCTTGCCTCTGTCAAGAGTAGACAAGCCACCGAGAAGAACACAAGATTAGGTGTTGATTGTATGCAAACTGGTAGCAATGACATGAGAGATGCTTTCGTTATCGATCCATTGATCGGTAAAAAGCAACAATTGATGTTGGCCACTCAACTTTGTCGTATGGTATTGAAGATCAATAATGTCATCATTGCTGGAAACGATGAGAATGAATTTTAGAATGGAAAAATTGCCATAGTAAAATAGACTAGGGTTCCATGATTCAATAGATTCATTTAAGCGCTTCAATTTGATACACCTATTAATGACAGGAATTTTGAGGCTATCGCCGTTGCTAGTTGAATGACCCTGATGTTGCAAGTGTTTTTGTGGCTCACCTATCATTAGGGATAGTTGCGAAGTGAATAGCTTAGGTGGCCATGGTTACCTATGAATTTACTACACGGGCAGCTTGTAAGAATTGAAGTTTGAAAACGTAGATCGACGACTGGTTAGTTACTTCCTATCTTATTTGTGCTCGCATATTCCATATTCGCAGCTTCCCATTTTGAAATAAACAGCAAATATATTGCGGGTAAGCTAACATCTGAACCTTCCCGGATACAAACGAAGATGGAATCAGAGACGTTCACACTTTACTGCATATCAATCAAAAATCAACAAAAACGACGCAAAGTCTCAACCTTTACAACTTTTTGCATTTGCCTGCGATTTTACATACCACTCTACCTACTCCATTGCCGCAAAGTGATTCCAAATAATACTTTCCTGGCTACCACTTTGTTTACTCCTCATCCCAAAGAACTACACCTAGTACCCACCTAAGCTCTCCAAGGGAAATTGATATTGATTCAATCATATCATCTCTTCTTCGGCCCATTACACATTCATACTTCACTGCTACCTCTCACTCACTTGCTTTTTTTTCAATCTCTAAATGAGGATTAAAAGGGCAACTGGTCCCGGGTATGTACCTCGTATGATTCACAGTCTGAGCCTCATCCGATACTTTATTACTTATTTCAACTACATCAACTTTGATAAAAAAAAATGAATATTGACTAGGACAACCAATAGGATTTTATAAAATTCTTCACAACAAATCCAGAAAACTCTTAATAGAAACTTCATTCAAGGAAGAACCACAACTTGTCCTTATTTTATTCCACTTTATCGACAGTCAAGGCCAAGTGCATTCACTTAACTCGGAAAGTAGCAACCGGCAGTGCAAACTACAAAAGAAGTCCATATGCAAGACCAATAAAAACGACATAATTATTCCAAAGCCCCCTTCTCATCCAGCATTTGCAACTTGCAGAAGTCTTTACTCCTCACGTGGAATTTCTGCCTAGTGTCATTCTTTCCCCCTAGCTTTATTTCTCGGCACACTTCGGGTTGCACACTTCGGGTTGGGTTAGTAGGGAGTTGAGACTTCTTTCTTCATTTTCATACTTCTTCCATCATACATATAACTCTTCAGATACTCCTATAACAACGATATCCAGCAAGAAAGAAGACTCTTTGAAAGTAACTTATCTTTCAAGCAAAGTGTTATTTTTTTCATCACGAATTCCTTTAGGATACCATAATTACTCTGAGATTGATACTTCGAATTCATCTTACAATTCGAAGATTCGATAGTCATTGTTCTTACCTTCAACATTGTCTCCTTCCTACTTGCTACAGCGGAGATAATTCAAGTCTGTCCACTTTATCAAGATGTCATTCTCCAGCTTCTATGATCAGCCACTTCGACAAATTCTTTCCGAAGTCGTTAAATTAAGCCGGCGCGAAAAAGCCCGCCACGATGCGAATATCTTAGCCCCGTCAAGCAAAGCCCTTACAGATATTGCAATCGAAGTTCCACAAATAGACTTCGTCGACGCTAATCCAAAAGTAAATGAACCTTCTCTGGTTGGCATCGATCGGGCCCTTCATCAGATTAAGATTGCGCGGAAATCACTTGGATTTGAGGAGTTGATAGGAATGACTGAAACAGCATCATTCGGTTCTAAGACCAAACAACGTGGCACTGCTCCAGCTTTTGCTGACGCAGGGCTTGATCGGATTAGGGCCGCTCACTTTACATCCGACGTTAAAGATTCACCAGTTGAGGCCTCTCGGATAGTATCTGGAAGTGAGGAAGCTATATCAAACGACGCTGCTCCACTTGTTCCAGTCAAATCTGAAGCGCGTAGTCCCGTTCTGATTGCTACTGATGTAGGGCTTGAACAAACCAAAGACGCTCGATCTACATCTGATATTAAAAATCCACAAGTTAAGGCATCTCAGGTAAAATTCGGAAATGGGGAAGCTGTATCAAACGGGGCGGTTTCAGTTGTTCCGGTCACATTCAAAGAGAAGAGTGCCGTTACAGTGGCTACTGATGTAGGACTTGACCGAATTAAGGCCGCTCTCTGTACTCCTGATGTTACAGATTCAAGCGTCAAAGTCGCCAATTCTACTTCCGACGCTGCAGTCTCACCTGTTAAAGTCTGCAAGTACTTCTTGAGTCGCAAAGGATGCAGATACAAGCATAACTGTCAATCCTTTCACGATCACAATGCCATGGCTAAGCTCAAGGAAAAATGGGCGGCCAACGATGCCAAGAAGAAGCTTGAGCAAGTTCGCACTAATCAACAGACTGCCTATACAAGAGAAGTCCTTGCACCCAAGAGCAATAATTCAAATATCCCTGTTGCTGTCGCTAAACCTTTAAAGCCCTCCCCGAAACGCCCATCAAAGAAAAAGAGGCTAGCTTGCAAAAACTTCCATTCTCCCAATGGCTGTGTTCAAAAGAATTGCCTGTCTTCACACGACGAACCGGAAAAGCTTATTGACGACACCGTTCCTGGTGAAGCCCCAGAGGTTTCCAATACTATCTCAAGCAATCAAATCCCCAAATGTCCTAAAGCCATGTTACGCAAGCGCAAGGCTAAGAAATCTTCAAAAGCCACGGTCGTCAAAACTTCTGAGCCGGAGCAGATATTTTCGGCTGCGAAACCCATTGTATGGGAAGGCAATCCTAATTTGGGTGATGAGGCCTATTGCACCGGAGCCATTCTCCAAATATTTGGCAAATTCGCCCCAACGAAAGAGGAAGCTATTGAATGGTGTAAAGAGATGGGCGTGAATCGAAACTTTCGGCATTTCAACAACTTTGACAATCTTACTATGTGGGGTCGAGCCATCAATCTGAATACCGATGAGTTTCTAACCCATATCGGATATCTACCAGAAATCCCCGTACGATTTACATTCAAGGTGCAGCTCTATATCCAAAAACTTAGAGCCGCCTATGAAGCAGAACAAGCGAGGCCAAAGTATGATATTTTCCATTGTTTCGATGACCTTCCTAACGAGTTGTGTATGAAGATCTGGGGATTTGCAGTCAGAAGTGGGAGAACTCTCACAGTCAGTCTTAACCGGGATGCAATTCATACTGAAGGGGGTCCTGGTTTATTCAAACGTCGACGTGGAACTTCACCTTCACCATTATGGCTTGTTAACAAGCAAGCGCAGAAGGCGTGCATGTTGGATAAAAGCTGTGCATTCTACTTTGGCTGCGATTATTTCTCCTCGAGATTCGATACATTGTTTCTCAACGATTCCGCAGAAAATGTCAATCTCTATGCATCTCAAATTGCCTTGTGGAGAGGCAACGTTGTACAAAGATTATCATTTCCTCATTACAGACTTTGCGACGTCACAGATATGCGTCTCTTTGCCACTAGTCTCTACAAGGCTTTCCCAAATCTTATTCGCCTCGAATTCAGTCTTTCAGATGGGGAGTACTGGTCCAAATACAGAGAGAAGGCTTCTAAAGTCGTCGAAGGAGCTGATACAGAAATTGCCAAGGTATATAAGAGACGTGGTGCTAATATCAAATTACCACGTGTTCGTTTTGTCCTGGTACCAGAGGAACAAGCTATGGGAATGGGTATTGGTGGTATTGGCTGGTAGACGGGGGTGAGTAGTTACTTGGAGTTTGTTTGCGAGGAATTTGTGCAGTTCTTGGTGGTTCTTGATAGTACTTGGTTGGATTTCATGCAGAAGGGATGATTATTAAATAGTTATGGATGAATGTCTTGAGTTGAATTGGAAGATTGATATTATTGAATCGCTTAAAAACGGCTGACTTTGCAGAAAGGTTTGTGGTGTGGTTGATACAAATGCGCGCCTGTGATTCTGGACGAGATGGTTGTTGTTATGATATGTACTTAGGTGGAGAGCAACAATGAATGAAATGTAAGTTCCTGCTACTGATATGGAGGAAAATTGACTGAAACAGATTTCTTTGTAAGTTTGTAGACAAATATTTTGTTAATTTAGAACCTACGATTTGTGTGCATATAAAGTTATAATCACTACTTAAACCCTCCCATCTTCCCCATCTATCCCAATCCGCATCAACCCGCTCACTTCGTTCACTCCCATCCTCACTTCTTTCCCTATTCATCCACTACTCTCACTACTCTCACTCCTCCCAACAAATCCCCCCCCCCCAATCTCGAAAAACCCCCCGGCCTCCGCTTCTCCATCACTACATTCAATTAGAACCTCAACACCGTACGTATCTTCAACCGCGGTGGGCATATCAACTTGAAGTTGCACATCGATTTAAGAATTAACATTAATCATCGCTTCATCGAGAAGAACCTCATTCTGATCAAGAACTGTGTGTGCGAGCGAAAATTGTCGCTGTTGTCCCTGGAGAAATTTGTGGCTTCGGGTTGTAGATGTGATGATGGAGATCTTTGATTGTAGATCCTCGAGCCCGATCTCAGCGAGGTCGATCCTGTCGATACAAATTTTCAAGTCGACGATTTTACTATGCGGCATGGAATAGGGAGGCGATGAGTGAGGATTTTTCCGGCGTCGGCTTCGTGGTCAAATCGAAGCTCGTTCAACACGAAATCAACAAGCCTGGTATTTGGAGACCATTTCTTTCTAACAGAACTTTCCAATTTGGGTGTATCCCCTATATTGTGTTGAATGACGCCCAGGATCTCTGAGGAAGTGGATTGTTCATCTAGTAGGGATCCACGAAAGGGTCACGAATAGTGAGAAGCGAAATATGGTCTCAGTAATTTTAGCCGCCGTCTTTCTCGCTGTTATAGCCACCGGATCTTTAAGCTCATAAGCCCTCTTAGAGATCTGGCCATAGTGATATGATGTATATTTGATCTCTCGGTACATCAAAGCCGCAAAAACCTGTACCAAAGAAATGTTATATCCATAAATGCGTTTGGTCAGCAGTGATCCCGACCAACGTCCTAGGGCTCCATTTCATGTATTACTCACCTCTTGAGCGGCTGATTTTTTTCATTCTCAACCTCATTTTGACTGCTTAACCAATATTATCATTCTTTGAGCTCAGATAACATCGCCACATTCAGTTCAACTCAAGGTTGAGAGCATTGGGGGCACTTGGCTTCAAGCTTCTAGACAAACCACACGATGATTGAAACAAAAACTTCATGATGAACTTCTTTAATATGACTCTGATTTGATCATGTTCTTCGCTCCAAGTTTTTGAAGTGATTGATAACAGAATACATCTCATCGTGAGTATCCAAGTTGCAAACTCTATAATTTCAAGAGATAATATAGCCCCAATGTTTGATATTCCAACTCGTCGGATTCGTATACGCTGCCGAACCAGGACAGTATGTATATTGAGAAACATGCGAACAAAGCATGAATCCCACACAACCATCTTGAAAAGAGTACTGCCCAAATTACCTACATCAAGATCATCACCCACCCCCAGAGCATCAACCATCACTTACCCCTCCCACGTGATCCTCGGACAACCTTCCCCATTCCACTCCACCCCACCACGCCCTCAATCCCAATCACGTCATTGGTTTCATCTACCATCGGTCCGCGGACCAAAATTTCACAAACTTCTGACAAAACTGCATCGTTGAGAAAGAATTGCATGTAAGAGTCATTCAGACTCACTACGTAGATTATCAAACATTTCCATTTTTTTTCTGAGAAAATTATCTCGGTCTATATTTCCAATTGGGGATTTTGAATTGCTGATTGCCAATTGGATTTACATATCTATTATATATATATATATTTCCTTCCTTCCTCCCTCCTTCCTCTACAAACAACATTGACAAACCAACAACACACACATTCACCCACCCTTCAACCTCACCACACCCACCCCTCAAAATGACCATAACCCTCCACTTCGTGCGCCACGCCCAAGGTTTCCACAACCTCTGCACCGCCAACCACACCCTCCCAGACCCCCTCCTCACCGATCTCGGCAAAACCCAATGCACCAGCCTCTCGCAAACCTTCCCCTCCCCCGAAAAAATAACCCACATCGTCGCCTCCCCCCTCCGCCGCACCCTCTACACCGCGCTCTACTCCTTCCCCCGCGCCATCGCCCGCGACATCAAAGTCATCGCGCTCCCCGAAATCCAGGAAACTTCGACTCTCCCCTGCGATACCGGCTCTGCGCCTGCGGCTCTCGCGGAGGAATTCGCCGGAAGCGTGGATTTGGGACTGGTGCATGAAGGATGGAATAGTAAGAGTGGGAGATGGGCATCGAATGCGCCGGCGATCGAGAAGCGCGCGCGCGAAGCACGGGTTTGGTTGAGGGAATTGGGGAGGAGGGCCGAGAGGGAGGGGATGGAGGATGTGAATATTGTGGTGGTGACGCATGGAGGCTTTTTGCATTATTTTACGGATGATGTATGTTTTTTTTTCTTCTTCTTTTTCTTTCTTTTTGGTGGTGTTATCTATCGATCTATCCTTCAAAAAAACTCAAATGAACTAAAAACTAACTTTCTTCCAAATAGTGGGAAGATTCCTCCCTTTTCGTCGGAACCGGCTGGACCAATACCGAATTCCGCTCGTATCATTTCCGCGCTGCCGATTCCAGCGATCCCAATGCCGCAGTTCAAGAAACGAAAGAAAGTAGAGAGAGAAGGAAGGGAACTGAGAGACCACTTACGGATGATGAGCAGAGGAATTTGAGAGCTGCGGCGGAGAGTGGATGGCAGCAAGATGGGTTTCAACAGAAGGTGAAGAATGAGGAGGGGAAGGAGGTTGAGGTTGCTGCTTAGAAAGATGGAGATGATGTAGATGGTATAGGTATAAAGAGATGGATGGAGGTTCAGGACTTAAATTGTTGAAAGATATCATAGATTGCATATAGATTTTGAATAGATTCGACAGACTCGGGTAGATGTAGATGGATGGATAGATAGATAGAAAGATAGTTCGCATGCTAGAAAGCAATCATAGAATTCACTTATTAGTAAACGGTGCTATGTAAACTAGAACCATAGCACATATACATACAAGTTATTATATTCATGTTCCTGGAGTATGATCCCGCACTGGACAAACCTCCAAAAAGCCAAACACGCCAAGGACTTCTTGACAGATATAATATTCATTGATAATCAATGATCTCATACTGTAAACTTATATACCTCTCTCCCTTCGAGCCTCGTCACCCCAATCACAACCCCCCTTCATCAATCCACTCCCTAACTGCCGTATCCCTCTCCACCGCCCCATCCCACCCCGCATCTCCAACCTCCATCTCGGTAACTCTCTCCTTCGCATTCTCACCCGCATCACAATCCTCATCCCATTGAACTCTTACTTTCAATTCATGCAATACTACACTTCTTCTCATTAACTTTGTTAGTTCTTGAGCTTGTTGTTTGAAGATATTGTTTCCTTTTTCTCCTTCATCTTTTTCTCCAATCTTTCCCTCATCTTGTGATATGTTTTGTGATATGTCAAATGCTTTCTCTCCAGTAAACGGAAAAGAAGAGTAAGTAAACAACGATCTTGGTATCCGTAACGATGAGTTAGCAGGTGGGAAGATAAGATTTGATTTTCGGGATTCGAGGAGGGTCTCATGTGGCTCTTCTTCATCATCTTCGGTTGCGCACTCGTTTGAGAGATCCGGGTGTGGAAACTGGGGATCAGGATAGCGGGAGAAGTCGTCGGCTTCGATAGAACCTGTACTTTCAAAACTAGATGTCTCAGTGGGTGGAATGGAAGCGGGGGGAGGAACGGGCCATCTTTGTGGAACCGAGATGCCGGAGTTGCGAAAGAAGAGGATGGGTGAAGCGAAGGGATCGAAAGTCTGAGATGGAGATGAAAAGAGCCGAGTTTTGAGGGCGTGGAGGGTCAAAGTTGTCCAAGGAGAACTTTCGTATAAGTCTAACGTTGAGAGGCGATTGTAGGAAAGATTTGGTGACGAATCTGCGGATTCAGAGTTGAAGATTGAGGGGTCGGGTGTGGTAGAGATGGGAGTCCAGTTAAAGATTCCATTATGCACTATGAGAGAATGGATCTTAGTGGGTAAGAAGGAAGAGGTAAACGATTCTGTGAGGGCGAGAGAGGTGGCAAGAGTACCGCCAAGGTATGATCCATAGATTAGAAGTGGTCGTTGGATTGGTTTTGGATTGTTGTAAAAATAGGTTGATTCTAGAGGTTTAGGCTCCGGTAACAGAGAGGGAAGGTAAATTTTCAATAGCCAACTATACGCTTGAAGTGTATCATGAACTGTGGTAGCGGTCAGTGAAAGCCATAGGATAACTTAAGTCTCTTTTCGGCAAAGAACCGAGAGATTGTACGCCAGGTGACATGATTGAGATTAATTTACTTACGTGGTATGGGAAACGCGTGAGATCTTTGTTTGCGAAATGAAGTTTTAGGGTCATGGGACCAACGGTAGGGTATGTTAATGACAGGATATGAATTCAATAACCATGAAGGTGTATGAAATGATGAAAGTGGAGAAGACGGGTATGGTGGTAAGTAGATAACCAGAGGTGTTTTGGGCGAATCGCGAAGGAGAAATCCATTGCGAATTCTGTATGCATAATGTTAGCTTGATTATCATTTTTTATATATAGAAACGCCATGGAAATATATCACTAACCAATGTTGAACATGTACAAGAACCCTTACGCGATTGGCACGAAGGCGTCACCTACTATTACTTATCTGGTGGATACTTACACCATGACCTTCTATCCACTGCGTTGGTAAATCACCCATCATGGCGAACAAACTTGCTCGAGAACTCACCCGAAGCCAGCATAGTTACCAGGGGAGGAAGACCACTTGATCGTTTTCCACACGTGATGCGTGAATTATCTCAAATAATGTGGAATGCCATACCGGGGGTATTTGCTTCACGGGTCGGGCTAGAACCATGGCCGGATAAATAGAAAACATAAGTTGCCAACCTACTCGACGGTGATGTGTCCCGAGATACCACAAGCGATATCATATTTTTCCACTTGTAGCGGCGCAGCTGTTGCCAATTGTCTCAATTTTTGAGCTGGCCATTTCTTGGTTGCAACTCGTGCAAATATGCGACATGTGCGTATACTGTGCCCATATTCATACAAGCGCATTTCCAACGATTTCAACTCTGTGATGTTGAATGTAGGAGTAAAGTATGGTATCCAAATTGGACCTTTTCAGTGCGACGAGAAAGACAGAATCACGATACGCGCCTTCAATCAGCGGTACTGTTCAGATCCGTCGTCTCGTCCTGTATTGTGGAAGGCTTTGGAGAATTTCATTAACATGCAGCAAAGACTCGTTTGGTGGACGCCGAATCTATAGCTTGCGCACGAGGTTGGTTGAATGGATGGAAGAGCGTTGATTGAAAATTATCGGCTTGACTTTCTTGCATCGGTTGAAAATGGATACCTAGGCTGACAAGGGGCATATGGCGCTAAGTCTGATGGAGTAATAAGTTATCAATGATCAACCCTTTCACTGAATTATTACTAATTTATTAGTTATTACCTAGGTATGATTCTCATGATGTTTCTGTCTATCTGGTATCTAAAACAATGAGTCGGTAAATGGACCAATCATTTCTACGTGTGCAAATTGCCTCCCGCGCTGATACATACTAATAATTAGTAAGTACAGAGTGAAGTAATAGCTGGAGGTACGTACGAGTTTTTATTGAAAGTCAGGTCCGTGCACTTGTAAGCAAATTAGCAATAATAAGATCTCATCTTTATTTTTAGTTAATATAAATAATTGATTTTATTGCGAATATATTGAGAAAATAATAAAATATTATAGAATGTACAATGAACGAGTTTATCATTGGATAATATATTAATATATTAATTTATACATAAGATGTTTATTTATTAAAAAGCAATATTCTCGTCTACAAAAGGCGGCATTTATGATAATTTGCTTAAGAAGATATTCTAATAATCTCACCCCTCGATCCACTTATCATTTTCCCCCCATTTCAATCGGTTCCCTCATCCCCTGAACCAAACAATCTGAAACTAACTCCATTGAGCTGACAGGCAGGCTCGCTAAGGGAACCTTGGAGAGCTTGGGAGTACTGTCACTACTGTGCGGTACAACTTGAGAACTTGCTTGTACTCCCAAGGTAAAAGAATTGAAGCACCGCATGGGGGGCAGTGCAAGTAGGAGGAGAATCAGGAGATACACAGCATTAGCATTCAATACTAATGATCAAAGAGTAAGAAGGACTGTCTGCGTCGAACCATGATTGGTCAATGAGGCATTTTGCAAAACTGTGTGTATTCGGGCATTTTTCAAAGATACGATGCGACGAATCAAGATGGAAGACTGTTGTTGGTACGGTGGACCCCCATCTTGAGGATATAAACCGTTGAAAAAAGGGTTCCATACATGTGATAATGCATATGATACATGATACATGATATACGAGTATCATATTGTCCTTTTCTACCATCAGAAGACAATTCCTCCATATTACTAGATCAGCGCAGCCCATGGAGAGTCACACAAGCACGCATGAGCAAAAAGTAAGCATCACCACATGTATCAGAATCATCTACATGTACATCACTCAATCCCTCAAAGCCTCAAAGGATTGATATCACGCCCAGCCCTGTTGGTTAGAATTGCGATTTTCCCCATTCCCCATTTAGTCGAGAGGACTTTTACGCTACCAGTGCCGCAGTCTTGGCTGCGCATCGAATGCTCTAACCCTGGAAGGATTTCAAAGTGATCCAACTACACATTTCAATCAATCAAATGATCCATCACATTTACCTGGGTAATCGATGAATATATATTATATGTATGTATATATATACGATATATACATACGATATACACACTCATATATAGAAAAGGTAATCTATCTTCAAACATCCATCATCAACTCCTCACGTTGTATGCTTCCCTCCTCTCACAATATCAAAAAACGCGTAAGATTCATGATTCAACATTTCACAGCATCTCCATAAATGAACATCTACCCTCGACCTACGAGCGCTTGCATGGATCCTTTCGAGCATGGCACAGACTCCCAAATCCTTCTACCCCTGCCTAAACTCATCGTCCTCTTCTCTCATTGGTCCATATCGGGATTCCAGATTCACACATCGAACATTTCACCTCAAACTTCACTCAAGAGAGAAGTCAGAAAAGTCAATCTTTAATCTTCTCTCCCCTTTCCGCTTGTTCAACTCCACCAAAACCATCCTGGGACATTGTGGACGCAGTCACCAAACCATTGAATTCCCTCATTCTCCAATTCTTTTCTCAATACAGATATTACACATCTTCTTTTCCTCTCCTTTTCATTAATTACACTTTCTCTCCAGAAAATCTTCGAATCTTCGTATCTTTGACTTACATAATTCACCTTTGCTCCTCGTAAGTACCGTACGCCTGTGCTTTACGTACCCCGTTCGCATGGAGTTCAACTTAGCCTACCTTGTTCCAAACAACTTACGATATATATCTAGCTATCCAACTCTCAATATCCAAAACCTAAAATTCAAAAAATAGCTTTCTGCAAATTACGAACAGTCAAACCACTCATTTACTTCTTCATGGCTTTCAGTTGAGATAACCCTTTCAAGTTGCGTCAAGCAATCGTCTCACACAAACCCTCCATCGATACGCGCACGAACACTCTCTAACCAACCAACAAATTCACCTACAAGATGGCAAAAAGGAATTGGGCAAAATCATGCTGTGGAGTGATGAACAGCATTCTAGCAGCGCTGGCATTGTATGGGACTCTATACTTAGCAGTACTCATCTTCGAAAGGGGAGCTCTTCCAAAATCGCCATCTGAACTTTACAAGAAACCCTCTCATGGATCGTCTTCTGAACATGGTTCTACACCCGTCCCCCCTCCACCCGCAACACTACATATCGAAAAGATCAATCCACATGCAAATTGGTTCAACAGACCCGAGAGTTTGGTTGTTCCAAAGGATGACTATTTGGGAAAACGACCACACATCGATACGGTTGCGAATCTAACAAAATTAGTGGAAGAATGCAGAGGATCATACAAAAAAATTGAGAAAATGCCATACGTTTTCGACTGTTTGAATTATATGAATGAGGGTGAGAAGGAATATTATTACATGCCGGCACAAGGAGAACGAGCAAGCGAGCAGCCCCCCAAGTTGGCCGAGTATCTCAATTCAGATGGTCGGGATAACTCTTTGGCTCAGTACCCATCACAGAAAGCTTACTCAAAGTCCTCATCTGGTCAATGTAATGGGCCAATTGTACCATATCACACTTACTGGACTGGCCCTGCGACTTGGAGAGTGGAGCTTTTTATAAAAAGTTACTTTTATACGCAAAATCTTCCTTGCTCAAGGTTATTCATATGGTTAGATGGAGACAGGGACCCAAATGCCATCGACAAGTTTACGACCAGAGACCCTCTCTTTGAAAAGTTTGTACCATTCGTCGAAAGGGGTGACATCACTCTGAAATTGTGGAAATTTCCCTCTAGAATACCACTACCACCTGGAGATAACACGGATGGACGTGGATATTACAAAAACCCAGGAAAACCCAATCCAAAAGGCGAGGTTCTGGTAGCGGATGGACTTATCCGAGATTCAAACGACCAGGAATGGTTGATATTGACAGAGAAGCAAATGACATTCTTGCCGGTTGCAGTTTCAGATGCTATGAGATTTGTTGTTTTGCACATATATGGAGGATCTTATTATGATATGGATGTTATCATGCTACGAGACATGCGACCGTTACTCATTGGAGATGAACATTCATTTGCAGAACGTTGGGGAGGGCATTCCAGTCCTGGTGACTATAACACTGCGGTGATGTCTCTGACAGCCAATTCTTCTTTATCCTCTTATCTTCTACGAGGTGGTGTGAGAATGGGATTGAACTTTCACCCTCGAATCATTGGCGTTATGGCTGTAAAGGATGGCCGAAATCAAGAATTCAACATGTTGGAGACTGCCGCTTTCGACCCGATCTGGACTGAATTCAACTGGGATAGATTAGGAAGATGTACAGTTCCATGTATCAAAGATTATGGACAAGTATTCAAAGGAAAGAATGCTTTCCCAAATCACGATGAATGGGAAAGCTATGATGGACCACAACTGAAGCTAGCCTCAGAGACCAAACCAAAGCATTTCTGGGAAATGAGGTCTATTGAAGAAGCAGAAGTTGAGAAGCGTGAAGTTACAACAGAACGAGCAACAACAGGAAATGGTCTCGAAATGGTGACTGTTGATCGAGCAGCATTAAGCAAAGCCGAGTACAGATTGGAAGAGGACAAATATCCACCAACAAATCGAACTCTAGAGAATTTCTTCCGAGGCGCATGGACATATCATATTCACAACCAGGTAGGTTTACAATTTTTTTGGACAAGAGTTTGGCTAATATTACTCTAGTGGCGCAAAAATCCTGAACCATCATCATGGCTTAACGTCATTCAAAGAGCGCAAGATGGTTTCTTCTCTGGTTCACGCACCAATCCATACGGCGAGACATGGCAAGGTCTTGAATTACCTCAATACGAAACATCTTGGGAATACGCATAAAATATTTGATATGGATATTTCATGAATATCAACACCTAAGACGGGTTCTTCTTCAACGCAATCTTACGAACAACACAGTAAATATGTCTATGAAGTCAATGTCAAAAATAAAATAAAGCATTTAATTGGTGGGCGCATGCACATATACTCGGATTTGAGTAATGGTACATATATACACGGGGCAAGGGCATACAATTGTGCATAGCTGGCGTTTGATGTATTCGTACATTCGTTTTTTAGATCCTTTGACCCAATGGATTCGGGCATGGGAATGGAGTTTATTTAGGGAGTTATCACATGGATACGTACATATATAGAAAATATATGCGACGGGTTGGGATTTAGCAATGCTGTGGGAATTCAGCAGTAGGGAGAAGAACGGATGGCGATTTGTGTCTACTGGCTTACCTATCTAGCATTGCCCAGGTGTATCGTATGTACGTGGTTGGATGGACTGGGATGGGATGGGATGGGGTGCTACTTGAACATCGCGGGTAGAATGTTTAGAGAGGTTATATACCCTTGCGTATCTTGTAGGAAATATTAAGAAATGTAAAAATGAAATTAAAACAGAAACTGAATAGTATCTCGTGATGGGATTTTCTAATGTGGAATCTTGTTTTGGGGATTGGGGTATGAGGTTTCCAGATGGGAGATGTTGTATTGTAGATGGTGCAGTAGAATCTGGATGTGATGAATGAATGAATGAATGAATGAATGAATGAATGATTTGGTAGGTGATCTTCGTTAGGTTGGGGTTTGGGGTTTAGGTATGGATGGTTTTGTTGGCGTTGGTGTGGGTGTGGATGTCGATAGTATGGTTGATAGTGTTGGTGTATTGATATTTAGTTTAGATACCTAGGTTATGTTATGTAGGTGAAGTACTAGGTATTTATTAATGGGTTGGAGAAAGAGAGAGTGGTGGAGGGGGAAGAAGGGTAGTAATTGAATCTTGATGGATGTGTTGATGGATGTGTTGATGGATTTGTTGATGGATTTGTAGATGAAGTTTATAGATATATGTATAGATTATATTGTATAGATAATATCTGAGTAAATAAAGTAAGTATTTAGTATTAAGTATAAGTATTTAAGTATTAAGTAGATTAAATCGATACCAGTGATTAGTGGTTGATTCTTAGAGGAGAGAGGGTTTGAAGGATTGAAGAATAATCTTTTGGGAGGGGGAGGGGTTGTGGTTTGTGGTTTGTAGATAGATACTAGGTAGATATTTCGTAGCTGATTTGATGATTATATATCTCGATTCCTACGATATCTCATTTTATCTCATATCCTTCTTTCCGTTTCGGTTGTTCGGAAAATTTTTGGTAGGGGGGGTAGGATAGGTACACCCAATTTCATAACTAGCTTCCAAAGAAAAAAGCACTTTTTTCAATATCATCTAATCGAACTTTTGAAATTGAAAATTCAATTCGATCAATACAACTCCAAATTGAAAAAACTTTGTATCATAATATAGATCTTAATTGATAGAATCTATAAATAAAATTTGAATAGAATTGATCAAAAATTTATTGAATTAGAGGTGGTTGAATGAAATTATGATTTTTGGAGTAGTTTTCAGGTTTTTGAACTTTCGAAATTCAATTTTCATTTAACCACCTCCAATTCAATGAATTTTGAATCGAAATTATTCATATTTTATCTATTGATTCTATTAATTGAGATCTATATTTCTATATAGAGTTTTTTCAATTTGGAGTTGTATTGATCGAATTGAAAGCAATTGAATTATTTTCACATAGGATTTAGCAAAAAGTTGATTAGATCAAAAAAAGTCACGTTTTGGAAGCTAGTTATGAAATTGGGTATAAGGCTGGGTATCTACGGAGTACCTAGGTAGTATCTCATACAATAATGTTTAGGTAAGGTTCAGTAAGATGAGGTATGATGAGGAATCTATCTATAAATACTTCCTACCTACCTACCTACCTACCAGGTCTTTGTGTTTTTTGGGAGGGCATAATTGGGATCTCTGGATTGTTATTATTAACCTAGGGTTTAAGGTTAACGTTCGGGTTTGTGGTGGGAGATTGAGAGGAGAGATGACGGATGAGGTAGGTTATTTTGTGTGGTGGTGATCATGAGCTATCATTCTTTTTTCTGGATGATTTTCTGGTTTGTGTAGGTTGGTATGGGTTGGTTTGTTTGTAGGTAGCTTGGGTTCATACATTTATGATGCATGCGGAATTGTGTTTTTCTTTGGGGAAAGGGGAAAGGGGTATGGATTACTTGGGATATGGATATGGATATGGATAGGGGGTTGAGTTTGTCGATTGAGAGGTTTGTGAAGATCCTGATTGAGAGGTATCGATCTGTCTGCGGGTTTGTTTATTCCTATGAGTTTGAGTTTGAGTTTGATGATTTATGATTTATGATTTGAGCTACTTACATATTCTATACTCCATATTCCATATTTCTTTACATACGACAAGCGTCGAAGATCTTCACATGCATACCTACCCATTACCTCCGTGTGGAAGGGCTGAGAATCCGAGATGAAGATTATCCCAGTTCATGCGTGCATGTATGTCAGCAGTGAGGATGAAGATGAGGTCAGCAAATACCCTTATGGTGATCTGAGTCTTTGGGGATCCTTACGTGTATATCCGCGTTGTGTTGCGTTCCTTGCTTTGTGTGGTTTTTTGTTCTTGAGGATTTCATGTATAGGGATTGATTGTCTTGGATTGGAAATTGGAATGGAATGGAAGGGATTCGATTTGGGTTTTTTCTTTTTTGGTTCCGGAAGGGGTTGAGTGTGTGGATATGGGTATGGATGTATTTTTATATATATGCATATAAATTTGACTAGGGGTTGGACGATACGAGAGGTTTGAATAAGTTATAGAGATGGCAGATGGTGATTACGAGATCATCTAGAACATTTAATATTTTTCTCGTGTTCTTGTACTTCTTAATCTTCTGGAACTCTCCTGTTTGTTTTGTTTGCGAGTTTTTGTGTCTTTCTCATCTTGCCTTTTGCTGTTGTGTCGAATTCGAATCTCGTGAAGGATTTTACGACGTCTTTCTGTTAGAAAACAGTTGTGTTTGTACTTGGGCTGTGATTGAATTGTGCTGCGCATACAGTTGGAAAATACGAAGATCGATAACAGACTTGATACGAGGATAGGGCAGAAAAGAAAAGGGAAAAGAAAAAGGACAGATTGAGATATATATATATATATATATATATATTTCCCTTGAGCATTACTGTCAATATCTTCAGCGTCATCCCTACAAAGAACAACTAAACAACCATTCATCTATTCACCCTTCGAATTCTTACCTCAATCCGTTCATCTCTCCATCCGCATTATCAATCACCACAACACCACAAAATGCACATAACAACCGCCTCCCTCCTCACCCTCCTCTTTTCCCTCTCCATCCCCCTCTCCATCTCCGCGATTCCCACTCCCGCTCCCGCTCCCGCTTCAAAAACGACAAAGGAAGATCTGAGTTATCTCGCGGAATTATTCGCTTCCGATAGCTTGGCTAGAAGTTTCAAATTGCGAGCCGATAGTAAGATTGCTTCTTTCCCCTTTTCCCACGAGAACGATTGCTAAAAATCTCCCCTCAAGGTCAATTTCCCCTCGCAGACCCTTCTGCGAATAAAAAAGTCTGCGGACGCGCATACGCGCGCAAAGACGCGGATGCGGCGTTATTTGGGAAGCAGTGCTGTTGTATGTTTTTGCATACGAAGGATGGGGTGGGAGGGAAGAGGAAGGTAGAGAGGATTAATGGGGGTGGGTTGGTGGGGGGATTGTTGGAGCATAGGGAGGGGGGATTGGGGGTAAGATTGGGGCTTAGGGGAGGAGAGACGAGGTTTTGGGGGGAGGGAGGGGGGGCCGAGGATGCGATGATTACTTGTGGGTTGGATGAGGGGACGGGAGTTTGTGAGGAGGGGTAGGGAGAGAGGGAGTTTATGGGGTGGTGATGGTGATAGTGATAGTGATGGTGATGGTTTTGGAGAATGTATCATGGGGGTTGCTTTGTTTTTTGTTCAATTTAGCGGGCGTTGAGAGATGTAGAAATCTAAAGGCGTACGGGAATTTCTTGGTGAATGGGATAAAGTGTATATATACTAGCAGATACTAGACACCTAACTAGGTAGATATACATATATATAGGTAGCTATCCATACGAGATGCGGAATTCACATATATATATACATAGGATTTGCAATTCGAAAATTCAAAAGATGAAAATGACTCTATTGTTCAAGACTTAGGTAGGTATACAAGTACCAGTAAACATAGAAGTATATTGATATACTACACAAAACACCATTTCATCCATCACACAAATCAACTCGAGCAGGTATATTCATTCAACATGTATTTCCGCCGCCAATATCTAAGGTCGAAGGTACCTACCTAGGTATCTTGAGGTAAGTGGTCACTGGGTACCGCCTCAAGTAGTAAGTAGTAGGTTCGCAAAATCACCATCCACCTCCACCCAAAATTTCCAAAATTTTCCAGCAACACGGCCGGAAATAAGCTCTCCAAAAGTCCTCTTATTCCCAGTCGATGTCTTTTTCTAAAATTTTGTCTCGTTTTGGAAGGGTGTCGATGAATCCGATTGCACAGTGCAAATTTTCAGACGTGCAACAAAACTTTTTGTCGGGCGAGGATGTCACGTGGGCTCTTCACCGACTTGGCAGAATGGGGGAGTTTGGTGTGGGAAATTGGTAGTGGTAGCGGTAGGTATGGAAGATCCATATGAGTGATTAATGTAGGGTTCACAGGTAGATATTGAATTGGATGGTAATGGTAATGAAAGGAATGGATGAGATTGGGTTGATAGCTTTTATTATTATTGTAGAGTTATTTTAGTTTTGTATTTTGCATGTATGTACCTAGTATGCATTTGAATACCACCTTCTGAACAATTCTAGAGAGGTACCAAATCCATACCATCAATTCTAACAAGATTTCAACCCCCTACCGGTAAACGAACAGAATGCATTACACACATAC